ATGAAGAATCGCTTCTCTGAGTAAAGTATGTATGTATGGGTGCATTTGCAACTGTTCACTAGGGACTAGGAATCAACGATACAACTAATTTTAACAGATAATGTTGCATAATTTATTAAATTTACTTGTTTTTTTTTTATTATTGCTAGGTGGGTGAACGAGCTCACAGCCCACCTGGTGTTAAGTGGTTACTGGAGCCCATAGACATCTACGAAGTAAATGCGCCACCCACCTTGAGATATAAGTTCTAAGGTCTCAAGTATAGTTACAACGGCTGCCCCACCCTTCAAACCGAAACGCATTACTGCTTCACGGCAGAAATAGGCAGGGCGGTGGTACCTACCCGCGTGGACTTACAAGAGGTCCTACTACCAGTAAAGGTTTGTGCGTCATTGAGCAAAAAGGTTGAGAGCCATTGGATTAGAAGACCGAAAGTGAAACCTAGACCAGAACGTATGTAATGCGGTATTATTTATAACATCATTGATGCTCAGCTAGGCTCACAATTCCAGTAGTGCTCCTCATATCTGAGGATTGTGACCGCCTCAATCCGTGACTCGTCCTAACGATGTCGCGCCATCTCATCCTGGGTTCAGCTACGCGAACTGTAGATGGCATTAAGAGTGATGGGGCTCTGGTCAGACTAAAGCGTACTCCCCCGCGTTCATACAACTTGTAAACCATTACCATTTCTGGGACCAAACTCTATAGATATAGTTAATCATTACTATATTTCTGTAAGTAATGTGTGCAACAAGTAGTCATTTGTTTCTTCTGTCAGAACTAGTGGAAAGATTTGTACGTAATTTCGACATTTTGAACTCGCGTCTCAAGGTAGGTTCATGAGGCCCTGTATATAGGTTCCAACGATCACTTAACAACAACTGAACCTTGTGATCGTTCACTCAAATGTAATAATCTATTTTATATAGCGTTTTTTTTTTAATTGTGCTTTTAATATCTTCTAAAAAAAGTATTGTATGTTTAATAAGATTTTAAATAATACAGTAGAATAATAATAATAATAAAGCCTTTTATCAGGACAACAGATACACAATTATGTTTCTTATACTACTGCACGTATACTGATGCATATTATGTATTTTAATAAATTAAAATTGTTTACGTATTTCGTGCTTCTTTACTTTCCGTAAGTTCGTTTGCCAACCTGCAACCATGACTCTGACCATGTGTCCCGCCCAATTCCATTTTAGCCTTTTTATTTTTAGGGTTACGTTCTGTATCTTAGTCTTTATCTTAATGTTAATCACTCAACTAGACAATATAAAAAAAAGGCTTTAGTATGCCTAATTTTTTAAGCGGAAAATTATTTTTTACTAATGAATTAGAAGGCTTGAATACATTTCTTTCATCAGAGAGACAAAATTGGAGTTGATCATTTCTGAATTCGTTCGACGGTTCGACGAATTACACCGATGTATTGTGAATTCGCACGTATAAATTATAGTCAAGCTAACTTAACGTTAGACACGCCGTAAACTCGTCCGTTCACTTAGTCTAGAGCAATAAAACATACGTGCAATTTTGGATATTTATTCAAGAAGAAGGAGTTCATCAAAAACATGCATTAAAAAGTTGCGTTAAATTCTCAATAACTACAATCCTTATGTAATTGTTTTTTTTAATGATTGAAGGATTACTGGTGGCCTTGGAGCCTTTCCAGTTTCACCAGGACGGGTGGTCGAGCAAAGGCTTAGCCAGGAGGAATGGAAGTCGCTAACAGCTGCGCGAGCGCCTCCGAAGGAGACCTAACAACTTAAGAGCAGCTGAATCGTGACACGCTGAGAAAATCCGGTGAGAAACTCAGCGAGCTGATGCATGGGTTAGTGTCCACGTCGAACTCATTGCCGAGTTCAACGAGTACGGTTACCGGGGTCCCTAAGTCTGCTCCTAGTGTTAGAGCTGAAGGCGTCTAATGCAAAGGTTATTGGATCCGATGGATCCGTAAGGACGTGATGTAATTGTATAAGTGGCTATTCCGACTACGCGCGGTTCGAATCTCACGGGGCTCAATATGGGACGACTTGCTAATACTAGCCCTAGCAAGAGCAGTGCTTCGCTGAATCTACTACTGGATCTAAATCGCAACCCACTGAGAAGATCCGCCCAGAAAATCAGCGGTTAGCTCTCACAAAACTTATTCTAGAACTACATTTTTAGTTCTCACTTTTTTTTATTGACCTTGCAGGCAGACGAGAATACGGCCCACCTGATGGTGAGTGGCTACCGTCGCCCATGGACTTCAGCAATGCCAGGGGTAGAGCCAAGCCGCTGCCTACCGCTTAATACTCTCCACAAGCCTCGTTTGAAGAAGGACATGTCATAGCGCTAGGGAAACACCGTGCATTTTGCGTGCATCTTCTTCTTGTTCTTCATCGTTCTCTCACTGCTGATGATCGTAACGCCACGTGTAACTTTCCTCCACAGGGTTCGATCCTGGGTGGCATGGACCGCATGGTATGGACTACCACAAACCGCTTCCTTAGCCAGATCTGACCATCAGGCTGGTGGCTCTGCGCACGGCGCGCTTGCCCTCTATGCAATCCGAAATTATCAGCTTCATTATCAGCGAAATTATCATGTCTGGGAGACCGCATGATGTGTCCGAAGAAGCCCATAAGTTTCAAACCGAAACGCATTACTGCTTCACGGCAGAAATATGCAGGATGGTGGTATCTACCCGTGCGGACTCACAAAAGGTCCTACCACCAGTAATTACACAAATAATAATTTTGCGGGTTTCATTTTTATTACACGATGTTATTCCTTCACCGTGGAAGTCAATCGTGAACATTTGTTGAGTACGTATTTCATTACAAAAATTGGTACCCGCCTGCGGGATTCGAACTACGGTACATCACTCGATACGAATGCACCGGGCGTCTTATCCCTTAGGCCACGACGACTTCGACGGCAGATGGCAGAGAACCTTTTTTGAATGTTTAGCTCTATTAGAATCGACTCGTTAATTCTCATATTGCATAATACTCACTTAATATCAAGAGGCCATAGAAATCACTACTTGAAAGCCGTCAGACCACTTGAAATATTAGGTTGATCTCAATTGTATGACGGCGAATATAAAGGCGTCAGCGTTACCTCATCTCCACTAGCTGTCTACCCCACATAATAGTTGTTAAGTAAGGAAATTTACTTAATGCTCTCCGCAAAGGACTCATGAAATTCATAACGGAGTTGAATGTTTCGTATACAGCGGCGGCTACAATCAATTTGGTAGGGGGCGGAGAGTTCCCCGGAGGGGGGATAGATTACACTCTAATGACATGACCGTGCTTTGTTTACTAGCTGACACGAAAATTGTTGACAAATCTGAGTTTGGATACTCGTTACTGACGTCAATGTGAACTGACCAGTGACCATCGGTATCACAACCCCAGGACCACACCCTTCTTAAGAAATGAGATCATAAAAGTATTCAAAGTAAGTATTATAAAAAAAATAGCTATTTGGCAGACTTCATTTCGCAAGTTTTTTTTTTGTTATCATGCATACTAAATAATGATTATCTAATAACAACATAAAGAGTCAGTACTAAAATAATTAAACGAATTATTATTGCATATTCTCAAAATGGATAGTAAACAAGTTTGTTTAGTTACAGTTAAGTACAGTACAGTTAGCAGTGATCGGGAAGTGCGTCAAAAATCACTCCAACTTCTTAAGTCTAATCCTCGGTCCACGAACAAATCCGGACTGTAACTTATTAACTTCGACTAAATTTTACTTCGTTGAAGCTGGTTTACGTTTGTCTTACATTTTCGTATCGATAAATAAGCAATTCGCTGTAAATTACCACTGTTTAAGTTCAATTTGGATTTACAAAGAATACAATTTATAGTGAATTATAAGAATACAGTTTATATGTATACTCGAAGCCAAATCGATATAAGTGTTCTAGAAGTTTTAATACTTTTTTGCCTACCTAATTACCAATATAATAGCCTCCGGAAGCGATATTATACGTAAATAAGTATGTCAGTCTCTGGTGCCATAACACAGGGAATCCTAATTTGGGGCCGAATGTCCATGCTCGATTTGTTTCCAGTTATCTATATTTTCTTTAATTTCACTGGTGGTAGGACCTCTTGTGAGTCCGCAGGGGTGGGTGCTACCACCCCACCTATTTCTGCCGTGAAATAGTAATGCGTTTCGGTTTGAAGGGCGGGGTAGCCGTTGTAACTATACAGAGACCTTAGAACTTATATCTCAAGGTGGGTGGCGCATTAACGTTGTAGATGTCTATGGGCTCCAGTAACCACTTAACACCAGGTGGGCTGTGAGCTCGTCCACCCATCTAAGCAATAAAAAAAAAAAAAAAAAAAAAATCTGCACTAGTAAGAACAGTGCTTCGCTGAATGTACTATAGAAATAACAAATCGATGAGAGCATTAGTAATAAAAAAAAAGCCAGTCGATCTGTCTGAAGACTAGTTCGAAGCAAACAGGGCACGGAACGCGATGAATACGTACAAAATGCTGACAGCACCAAAAACGTTTAGATCACCACCAATTACCAATGTATACTGCCCTCACGAAAATGTTCACTCATCTCTCCTTTACACACGCTAGCTCCGAATGTTCGTCTTTTTCGTTCACAGCACTCAATTCGAGAAGGCTTGGCAATCAAAGGCTTCATTACCGATAAAGCGTAAACGAAATACGACGTTAATGTACGGTAATAAAATTGAAATTCCATAAGAGAAGCTGGCTTCGACGCGAGCTGCGAATGTGAGCCTTAAGCTTCGAACTTGGCTCTTAAATTTTGACTACAGATTTAAATAAACTAGCTTTTATTAAACGCATCATTGAATAATTACAGTATTACTGTTGCTTTAAAGATAAGGTTCGTATTTGCTTAACGGTTTTCCGTTAATAAAATTAAGTTCGGACAACACCCCGTATGTGGGCGTGGCGGGAAGACTTGCTCGAAAATGTAGTACTTCAGCAGTGTGGCGCGCGCGTCGTGACGGAACGACGCATGTTACTGTTTGAACAAAACCAAACAATAAATACATGGACAGCCGTTGTGTTATTAATAATTAAGAAACTAAAATGAAATCTTTTATGTGACAACAGTATTGTAAAACAGCGTGTGCAGTGTTAACAAATATGTTTCGAATCTAATGTGTATTTAGTTTAGAAGCCAATTTCGTGTACATAGTAATGGAATCGCAAATCGAAACCCAAACGAAGAAGCAGCCGAAGCCTTTCTCGATTGAATCTATAATCGGCACTGACCGGAAGTCGCCGGAAATCGACATCGAGAATAACATTTCGGAGAATTCTAGGAATTCGGAAGATGACGACGCTGATAGATTGGAGGGATTGAATCAGATGCGATATTACGCGCCGTTTTTGAATAATGGCGTTAGTTTCCCGTTCCTGCTTGGCTACCACGAGCCCTGGCTGTCCAGGATTATAGGGTCAGGTCCCGGGCCAAGCCCAGAGGAGGGCAGAGAGAAGAGAGACAGCCCTGTCAGCGTGGGAAGCGAAGAAAGTGACGGTGGAGAAGATAATGCGGCAGGTCAGTAATTTTTTACATTCCTCTTCAAAATATTATTGTTAATAAGCATTTCTCGTGTAATTTATTAATAACGAACAAGCAAATCTCCTAATGTATACCGTTTTCTTTCGAACGTATAGGTAAAATAATGTTTAATTTATCAAAAACAAGTGACATCCAGCCGTGCTATGTTATGACAATCACTATGACGCATGATTACTGTGACTTCCATGGTGAAGGAATAACATCGTGTAATAAAAAATCAAACTCGCAAATTTATAATTTGCGTAATGACTGGTGGTAGGACCTCTTGTGAGTCCGCGCGGGTAGGTACCGCCACCCTGCCTATGTCTGCCGTGAAGCAGTAATGCGTTTCGGTTTGAAGGGTGGGATTGCCGTTGTAACTATACTGAGACCTTAGAACTTATATCTCAAGGTGGGTTAACGTCGTACACGTCTATGGGCTCCAGTAACCACTTAACACCAGGTGGACTGTGAGCCCTTCAACCCATCGAAGCACAAAAAAAAATAGAATGGATCCGAGACAATTCAAAGATCCGCGGTCAAAGCCGATGAATTTGACTATTTTTATCTATACTAATATTATAAAGCTGAAGAGTTTGTTTGTTTGAACGCGCTAATCTCAGGAACTACTGGTCCGATTTGAAAAATTATTTCAGTGTTAGATAGCCCATTTATCGAGGAAGGCTATAGGCTATATAACATCACGCTAAGACCAATACAGGCGGAGCACCAATAAATAATGTTTCAAAACCGGGATTTTAATTCTTTTCCTCCTCCTGAGAGCTTCCACGGCGTGCGCTGCGGAAACGGTTAAAGTTTCGCTAAAGTAATGTATGAGAGTCTTCTCTGTATCTGTCTAATGTATGAGAGTCTCTTTTGAAGTCGGTTAAAAAGCGTGGTTTTGGTACCTTAAATAACTCTCTAAAATTCTATTATTCAAAAATATTTTCACTTTCTATCTATATAATCATTTACGGAGGCTGGTAAAATTTTGCGTTATGCCAAAGCAACTAGGTTGCAAGCAACCACGCGGACGAAGTCGCGGACAAAAGCTAATTGTATTTTGTAAGTTTGTACACTATTATGATTGTATTTTATACTTCTATAAACACAAATTTCGCCAAGGCTACACTATAAAAAATATTAACAAAGACAAACAATATTTAATCTAATCTCAATTTGACCACAGACGTCAAGAACAAAAGTTTGACAATAAATAGTATGCATGCGTGTGTGCGTCAAATACATGGTATGTAGTGTGTGTAATGTTTTTTTTAATTGATTTAACGTATCTTTTATGCATTATTTTAAAAAAAAAATTAGCATTGTGCACTTCTTCTCTATATTCTCTATAAGTGTGGAAAATTTCATACTCCTCCGTCCGCGCAATTTTCGTAAAAATTCACGTATTAATATATAGATTTATGTTCTTTAATTGTCAAACTCAATTTCGCTTAAACCGATGCTGAAACCAACGTTCGGAATTCTTTATTTTGCAATCAAAGCGGGAATGGGATGTTGACGAAAAATTGTGCACCAAGGGAAAAAAGGTTGGACATTTCCTCCCGCGTCTAAAATTGCTATGAGTGCTAAGGTCTCAGTTTTACCAGTATAACGGTTGCCTCAGCCTAAAAAGCGAAACACGCATTACTGCTTCCCGGCGGGTGGTGGTACCTACCCGTGCGGACTAACAAGAGGTCCTACCACCAGTAATTACGCAACTTATAATTTTGCGGGTTTCACTTTTATTACACGATGTTATTCCTTCACCGTGGAAATCAATCGTGTACATTTGTTGAGTACGTATTTCATTAGAAAAATTGGTACCCGCCTGCGGAATTCGAACACTGTTGCATCGCTACATACGAATGCACCGGACGTCTTATCCTTTAGGCCACGACGACTTCAAAAATCAACTCATCACGCAAATAAATCTTTTGATAATAAATAAAAACTGCACTGTCTAGAATAGCAGTCCCATCTTCCCGAGGGTGTCGTAAAGGCGATTAAGGGATTCGAGTCAGCAGTGGCTTTTGAGTGTTATTCTGTGTGTACTAATAGTGTAGTTTGGCGTCCGATAATAGGCACCGCTAAGTCTTTATTTTTGAAGTCGTCGTGGCCTAAAAGATAAGACGTTCGGTGCATTCGTATGTAGCGATGCACCGGTGTTCGAACCCCGCAGGCGGGTACCAATTTTTCTAATGAAATACACGTACTTAACAAATGTTCACGATTGCCTTCCACGGTGAAGGAATAACATCGTGTAATAAAAATTAAACCCGCAAAATTATAAGTTGCGCAATTACTGGTGGTAGGACCCCTTGAGAGTCCGCACGGGTTGGTACCCCCACCCTGCTTATTTCTGCCGTGAAGCAGTAATGCGTTTCGGTTTGAAGGGTGGGGCAGCCGTTGTAACTATACTGAGACCTTAGGACTCATATCTCAAGGTGGGTGGCGGCATTTGCGCTGTGGATGTCTATGGGCTCCAGTTACCACCTAACACCAGGTGGGCTGTGAAATCCACCACTCATCTAAGCAATTAAAAAAAAATACACTTTTTTCCATACCTAATTGCGGTTATCCAAAGGGTTTATTCCAGCTACGATCTAATGGGTGAGCTCACGGCCACTTGGGAGAATTTTAAACTGTCGCGAGTAAGAGCAGTGCTTAGCAGAATCCACCACCGGATCGCAATCGCGACCCACTGAGAAGATCCAGTGAGAAACTCAGAAGTTTGTGTCTATGGGCTGGATTGCGCGTCGAAGTCTTTGTTGTATTCGACGCGAAAGGTGACCAGTGCTTGGAAAGCCGAAAGCACGAAGAATGGATCGGGAGGATCTGATAAGACGTGTTTAGGGCCGCTTTGCATTACTCCGTCGTGTAAGTCAGAAATGTAATTAGACGCAGTAAAGATTATCGTGTCGCGCCGCTTTTTCGAAGGAGCGTTCCAACGATGTCTAACCAAATACGCCAGAAACATAAACTCGTCTAGTAGCAAATGAAAAAATCCGTATTCACAAATCAGTATTACCAATATTATATAGTACAATAACTGCGAAACCGTTTGAAGAAAAAAAAATATACAGAAATCGTCAAGATCAGTCACGCCTCCTTGACAAATTACACGCCACTACATTCAACTAGGATGCAACGAAAAACAAACGTCACTAAACTATTGCTTTTGGTAATAGAGTTCAAAATCCTAGAATTTTACTTGACAATGTTGATGAACAATTTTAACTTTTCCTCGGTTGTCATATGGTCGTTTATCGTGTGCAGGCCTAGTGAGCTCCCGTCGCAAAATTCTGTACGCGATTCGCATCTGTACCGTGTAATTGTCGGAGCCGTGAAATGACAGATTTTCGAACTATTGACTGACATCTGCCGTTTTGTTCAATCGAGAGGCGTCACTTATATGGTACGAGATGTGTCGCAAACTAAGGACTTTTGATATGTCTTTTTTTCCTACCTATGCTGATAGACTTGAGATGCTATTTCAGCGTAACCTTAACTAGTAGGTGAGCTCACGGGGCTCTAACCTGACGGCGTTGCTAACACGAACCCTAGCAAGGGCATGCTTCGTAGGATCTACCACCGGATCGGAAACGCGACCCACTGAGAAGATCCGGCGAGAAACTCAGTGAGCTGTGTCTGTGGGGTTAAAGTTAGCTCATATTTGTATGGAATGTGATCATCTGCCTACGTTTGCCGCTAGGGGCGCTGTTCCAACTGCATACAAAATTGAGTTAACTATTAGCCTCTCTACCTTTTGCCAGACACTTTCCAGGTCAGTGCTCTCTTGGATAGGTGGGTATCGGGCTTTCTCAAAATGCGACCAATCCAATACCACTTCCGCGTAAGGATCTCCTTCTCCATTAGTGTCTGCTTGGTGATCCTCCACAGCCCTTGGTTAGTGATCGTCTCAGGCCAAAAGAGTTTGAAAATCTGATTATTTTTTTCCTACTTAATCTGATAGCGGATCGGAAACGCGACTCGCTGAGAAGATCCGGCGAAAAACTCAGTGGGCTGTGTCTGTGGGTTAATTTACGATGACCGGGTTGAAATGTCTAACACGCAGCGAAAAACCTATACTGGGTGTTAGGAGACCTCTTCCGAAAACGGAGACTGACGATAGTACTAATAACACATTTGATGATGTGACGGAAATAAAAGAAATTTCATTGCTGGTTTTTTATTTTAGTAATATATTTTTTTATGAAACTATCGTTTCATTTAGCTGTAGGTACTAACATGATGGAGTGTAAATAATTTTAATTAATTAAAAATATGATTTTTTAATATCAGGATCAATCTTTTTTCCGTCCCATCATCAAAGGTGTCATTAGTACTATCGTCCGTGTTCGTTTTCGGAAGCGGTCTTCTAACAACCAGTATAACCCATTTTCAAGATACAAATAGATTTAAGTAAAATCTGAAGAAAACCAATGACATTATCAAGATATGTAACCACCTAATAAGATATTTAATAGTAATCCTTAGTACTTGAGAAGCAACTGTCTCACCAAACAAAGTGATCCCATCACCTCTCTAAAAGGTTAATGGTATTTAAGAATATTTTTTTAATTGCATAGATGGGTGGACGAGCTCACAGCCCACCTGGTGTGAAGTGGTTACCGAAGCCCATAGCGGTTATTTCAAGATTACAAACGGACACTCCAATTTTATTTATATGTGTAGATTAAGAAAATAAGATCGCGGATTTTTTTCCTACTTACTTGACACTTATCGTTATATTTTGGGTAATTCATACTATATCTTAATAAATTATAGCTTAAATGTTATTCAGATGTGTCAGCTATATTATTATAAAGTTTCATCGTAATCCATCCTGTAGTTTTTGCGTGAAAGAGTGCCAAACATACATCCATGACAAACATACATAAATTCTTACGAACTTTCGCGTTTATAATATTAGTAAGGATTAACACTGACCTAATATATTATAATAGCTAATAAACTGGTTTTTGAGTGATTAC